ATTTTTGAAATCTTTCCATATTGCTAAACAACTATCTAACCCTTGTATACTATTTCACCATGTGCATTTGCTATATTTAACTCATCTGTTTCTCTACAGATGGAAATCTGGGTTATTCCCAATGAAGGTTTTTTTCCCTGCAAATCTTGTGGAACTGCTGTTCTAAGAACATAGTTTGAGAAACACCAGAATAGAGTGGTTAAATAAATAGATTAGTTCAATATATATTTTCACCTTATGAAAGATTAAGACCCATGTGATATATCCAGCAAGCAAATGATAAATCTGAATGCATGAATTATTCAAAGCAATGGCCCCATAGAAACATAGAAAATATTTTCATGGTTTCTTCCTCCTCATTTACCTTCTCTCAAGTATACATGCTCTTATTCATTGTACCATCTTTGCATTCAGCACAAATATTTATATAACAACCTTGTGATTTCATGATAGTGCACCTCAGCACTAGAGCCAGCCTATTCCTAGCTTGGAGGCACACTGCAGACCTCTTTGCAGAAATTACCAGGATCAGAGAAGATTTTCTGCATAATTTGGTGAATTTAAAAGTTTCCAGGTAATCACGGTATCACTGTATATATGTGCTATAAAACATAACAGACAAAAATGTCATTGCTGTGTAGAATAATGTGTAGTATATTTCAAATATAGACAAAACAACTACAAAATAAAAATAACACCATGACTACTATATATATTAGGCAAATTATAATGCCCTCATCTGGAAAAAGAAAAAACTCCAATTAATAATACCTTTTAAAATTATTTTGTTATTAAACTTAAAAGTCTAAAGAAAGTAAGCCATTTATTTACTGTTACAACAAGGATTTATTGAGTGTCTACTAAATTTTTCAGGAACTATGCTAAGACCTAAGGATATAAAAATATAAAAATACAATAACAACCGTGCCTTAAAGGATTATGCTGTTTACCTAAAGGAGATAAGCACATAATTCAATTATTATAAAAACAATACAATTGGGTATTATAAAGCATTAGCAAAACGAATTGGTGGTTTAAAAATGACAGGCAGAGAGGATGGCAAAGATTATTCAAAGCATAGGGTAGTTTATAAAATAAATTTTTAAAAAGAAAGATGAGAAAATGGAAAGGTAAAATGGAAACAGGAGAGAGAAATCTGTGGCAATAGATGAAGACGACAGACTTGACAGACTTCTTTTTTTTCTTTTTTTTAATTGTGGCTCATGTCTGTAATCCCAGATGGGAGGTTGAGGGAAGAAGACAGACCTTCTAAGAAGAAAATTTTAGAGGGACAGAGTCACCTCTAAATCAGCAGTATTTTCAAAGACATGTGCAGTTTGGTAATATGTTTTAAGTGCTTGATAATGATGACAATCCCTGATGGTCCTCAAATATGAATCCTGAAAATTCTATGCGGTCAAGTGCAGCAACTATGTCTAAGTTATCTTTATTTAGCATCTAGCCCAAAAGTAGATGATCAATAAACATTGGATGGATGGAAAGTTAGATAAATTTGATATGACTGAAAAAAAGAAATTTTTAGCCAGAAGGAGGCAGAAATTTAAGAAATTTAAATTTCTTAATGTGAAGAAATTTAAGAGTTTTAGAATCAAACAGGGTGGGTCGTTTTTAACTGTGTGACCTTGAGCAAGTTATTTATCCATGCTAAGCTTCAGTAACTTCATCTGAAAACTAGGGATTAGATGAAATAATTCGTGTAAAATGCTTAGCTCAGGACATAGTAAAACAAAGCACCACCTGCTTAAAATAATAGTTGCATTTGTTCTGTAAGTAATAAAGCCAAATAATTGTGAAAGAGTCATGTTTTGGATGGTTTGAATTTTAAAAGTTAAAGTTGGTTTAAATTTGATGTGTTTGAATATAAAAAGCTTTGAAAGTTTCATGAGCTTGGAAAGATATAATTTTTACAAAATTGAAGGACAAATTAGAAAGGGAAAGCTTGTGGTCAGAAGGAAAAAAAAAAAAGACAAAACCAACCTATTGTTATCATGTAGTATGAGACAGATTGTCTGGGTTGAAAGCCCAATTCTAGCCGGGCTCGGTGGCTCAGACTGTAATCCGTGCTTTGGGAGGCTGAGGTGAGTGTATTGCCTGAGCCCACGGGTTCGAGACCCGCCTGGGCAACTTGGGGAGACCTCATCTCTACAATAAATAAAAACATCAGCTGGGCATGGTAGCGCATGCCTGTAATTCTGGCTACTCAGAAGGCTGAGGCGGAAGGATCGCTGGAGCCCAGCAGGTTAAGGCTGAGGTGGCCGGGAGCAGCCACTGCACTCCAGTCTGGGTGACAGAGTGAGACTCCAACTCAAAAGAAAAGAAAAGAAAAGAAAAGCCCAATTCTACCATTGACTAATAATGTAACTTAGGGCAAATTACTTCACTTATCTAGGCCTCAGTGAGATTGTACTAGATCCATACAGTGTGTTATTAGGATTAATGAGATAATCAATATTAATTGCTTGACAGAGTACCTGACATATTATAGGGGGTTCAATCAGTGTTAACTACATTTCTTGTTGTTTCTTAGATAGGATAATGTAAGGTTTAGTTTGACAGTAAGAAATGAGAAGTAGGTACAGAAAAGAGAACTGTCAGTAGAAAAGTGTAAAAATCTTAAATGGTTAACTCTACGTGAGGTAGCTGCTTTGACTGCAGTCCCAGATAAATAGGACATACTTGTCTAATACTTGTTGCTCTGTGTGGAAGGAATACCCTGCCTTAGACCTCCTATGGCCTCATACTCCCAATGGACTAATTAAGGGAGATCATGCAAGATAATTGTAATAATAGTTATTTAATGTTTCAGATAAGGAAAAAGGTCACTGACAAATGCACTTCAAATCTGGATCATACAAACTCAATGAAAAACTAGGTTCAAATGATAGAATAGAAAAGCACTAGACTTTCAGTCTGGAGAATGATGCTCAAATCTAACTCACGCCCTCTGACTAGTGAGCTTTGTGAACTCACATCTACAGCTTTTCAGTGTCCTCAGCCATAGGATGGAAATGAGACTCTCTCCCTAGGTATTAGAAAGCAAGATGAGATAATGGATGTAAAGTGGTACCTGAAATTTGTTAAGAAATTAATAAATGGAAGATTAATCTTAATATATGGAGTCACTAAATAACCTTCTCAGATTCAGTGCCATGATAGCAAAAAGGCCAAGTCATCTGTCACCAATAACATCTTGATTAATTTCTGTCCTCTGTTTTAGATATGTGACGGTTTTAGTGCACTTACAGATTTATATTTTATCTTATTCTCTATACAGAAAAGTATATTTCCCCATTGTAGAGATTTTTGATAATAGGAAGTCTTGGACGGAAGCAAAAAACTAAAAATCACTCATAATTCCACTACCTAGAGATTTCTAATGTAAAAATATTTTTACTGGTGTTTTTTTCTTTTATAGAGAGCAAGACAAATCCCTCGAAAGATAGACACATTTTTAAAATAATTAGTATGATGTTAAATATACAGATTTTTGTTTTATCTTAGCCAATATTGTAATATATGTGAGTACAAGGTTGTTTTAAATACCTATATATTACAATATACAATACAGAATCTGTATGTATCACTTCTCCATTGAAACTAAGCAGTGTATGAAGAAATTTTTAAGAAAGGTTTATTATTTTCTACTTGTTGCTTATTTCCATTCTCCTCCTAAATAAAATGCTCAAAGGATCAACATTTAAATAGGCAACTATCAGGGGAGAAAACATTTATCTATAATGTCAGCCAAAATATAGCAATGAACTCTCTTTCATCTAGAGTTTAAACCCTAAAGTCTACTCTGAAGTCTTTGAAGTACTGACTTGGCCCAAAGCCATTTAGAAAAACTAAGCAGAATAAATGGTTTGAAGCAAATTTATATATAAAATCTCCAAACCTTTTCCAGCTTTGCATAATCATCGTTTTCATTTACTTTTTACTAAATTTGTCTTTGTGGAGGCATTATTAGCCAAACCTATCTCCTTTTTTTTTTTATCTTCTAAGTGCTTTCTAAGCCTAGAGCTTAGTTTTTCTAAATACTTAAATATTTGATAAGTATCAGTTTTACTACTGAGAATCACTCTAAAGGAGTTAGTGATAATTGGATCTGTTTACTATTTTTTAAATTATTTGTTTATATAGTATCAGAATAGTTTTATTAAATTTCTTTGTCTTATTAAATAGCCTTTGCTGTTGCTAAACCATTTACCTATTGGTAAAAATACCATATCATATGATCTTGGATCCCATTTTGGGGAAGGAAGTCATTTAATATTCCTCCAAAATGTCATTAACCACATGAAGAAAAGATTACTCCAGAACCCCCAATTTGACTCATTTTCTTTTATTAAAAATAAATATTAGTTGAGCACCCACTCTTTCTAAGGCACTGATGGTATAACAGTGAGTAAGTCAAAGTCCCTGTCCACATGGAGTTTACCTTTTGAAAGATTGAGCAATACATAAATTAATAATAAAATCTTAATAATATTATCAAATCTTGGGCATATTTATTATTTAGATAAAGAAAGGTAGATTATTTTGTTTACCATGTTAACAGATAAATATAGCTCTTAATCTCTAAAATGCACATGTAGCAGACTTTTATGCTGGTTTTGATGATCTACTATATTCAATATGAACATTTCTGTATAAAAATCAAAGTATAAGATTTTTCAAACTTCATAAAACTTGACAAACTTAACTTCTAGTAATGAGTTATCATACCAATGTTAAGTTCAGTGTGATATATCTTATATATCTTGAAATATATTTTCTATACCTATTCAAGCAACCTATTATAATGAAATGCACATGAAAAATATTATAGACTAGGATTTTTAAACAATGAATTCAAGATACTTAATAATAGCAATATATATTGACCAGCAAACTAGTTCATTCTTTTCATTCAAAAGTTTTTTTTTTTTTCTATTTTAATATCTTGAATATACCTTCAAACATTTTTATTACTTTTCCAGGAATTTGCTGCACTGACAAAAGAATTAAATGCCTGCAGGGAGCAACTTCTAGAAAAGGAAGAAGAAATTTCTGAACTTAAAGCTGAAAGAAATAACACAAGAGTAAGTATAAAGCAGCCTCTTCCTGGACTTATTGCTAAAAGTAATTAAATGCCTTATATCTAGTATACATATAAAAAGAAAATATAAGCATTTTAAAACTTCAGAAATGTTTCAAGCAGATACTAACTCATAGTCAGTTACTTAAAGTAAAGAAGTATGAATTACAAAACGCAAAACAAAAAGACAGGAAACCTAAATTGTAGTCTTGATTACTAAATCACTATGTTGCTTTAGAAAATGTTCTTATTCCTTGTGGGCTCTACTTTATTTGACTTTAAAAGGAAGGGCTGGATTTCAATAATGGGTTTCAAACTTTCATAAGGTTGTATTGGAAGCAGGGCGATCCCTCAGAGGCTAGAAATGGACAAGGGAGGAGAAGTTTGGATGAAGAGTAAGAGTGTAAATTATGGGCTGCTATGAGGGAGTGGCCAGTATTTGGTCTTCACCTCTTCCCAGCAACCGATTTATTTAAAAAGAAAAAGTATTAAAAATAAAACACTGAACAGAGCTCTGCATGTTAAAAGAGGCACAAATTTATATTTCAGAAAATCTCTAAGGATGCTTTCAGTTCTGATATTCTGGTTACTCTTGGAAGCCTATGTATTTTACCAATAATATGACAGGCCATATAACATTAAAGTTCAAAATTTGAACAAGATGCTATATTTTCTAAATTTAAAAAAGGTCACTAAATTTTATAAAATATGTAAATTGCCCTATTACCCATGAATAGGTGGAGTTTCTCTAGTAAAAGAAAGTAGAAATAAACCACTTTTGTGTATATATAAGTTCAACTTAAATATTAAGTAGGTGAAAATTTCTAAGTGTTATGGCTTTAACACTTGCTAAAAGATAAGGTATAGCTAATAGCCTATTCACTTTATGAGTAGTCTTAGAGAGTAATATAAAAATACAGCTTGTGCCTTAATGGGAGATAGAATTGCATGTACAATGGTTATATGATCAATCGGAACTGATGTCCTCATCCATCAGGGTCTTATTTTATGGCAAAGAGAATTCATGTGTGTGTACAATAAATTGGTTTTCGTTGAGACTTTTCAGAGCCATCACTTAAATTGGCCTCAAATAAAGCACAACAAGGGCAGTTTAAATCATGTTGTCATATGTATTATAAAACATTTTTTCTGTTTCTCTTTCCCTCTATGTATTTTTCTCACACTTGACTTTTAGCCTACCACTGTGTTTCCTTGCAAATTTAAGGTTTATTTCTGCCATGAGATTTATTCTGCCCTATTCCACTCTGTTATATTTTAACACTTAGATTGCATTCCGTGCTGCAACACAGTACAGCTAAATGTAAAAGTGGGAGCTGCAAGTTGAGAAGGGAGGGAAATAAAAAACTTTGGATAGATTTTCAACTAATATCTACATTAAAATGCAACAGACATTCTTTTATTAGCTATGTATGTATTTCTCCTTTATACGTCCTTCTTCCCCCCTATAGTCCTCTATTCCTTTCTATGCCACTATCAAGAGATATTATAATTATCTCCATGGTACTGACAAGGCAAATGAGAACAGAAGATGTCAGATAACTTGCCAGAACCACAATGTTGGTAAATAGCAGAGAAGGAATTTGAAAGGTAATGGAAGGTAATCTAAATCAGAGTCTGTGCCCCTAGCCATGAGGCCATCAACTTGATTACTCAAGTTATATCCATGAAGAAACTCAAAGATTTATTACAGCTTAGAGTAAACATTGCTTAAAAGTCAGACAGCTGCAATATGGAATGTCTAATTGTGACTAATTTCAGAGGACTAAGAGATTTGGTGACAGCATCCATATAATTTTCATCATATTAAACCCCATGAGGCCCAGAAGTACCTGTGGCTATTGCATTTGCAAAAAAAAAAAAAAAAAAAAAATGTCTTGGGTAATAAAGAAAGGAAGGCAAGCTACACCTGAAATGCCTACTTAGAAGTAAAAATGAGAAAAATATAAAGTTCCTTTAGAAAAATAGAAATTGAAGCCACTGATATTAGGCATGAAGAATAGTTATTGAAATATATGATAAAGCTGGAAAACATATTTCTGTCTTTCTTAAAGCAGTGGTGTGGAGTATTTTTTGTTGTTGTTGATTATATTAAGGAAAGCAGATTTATGAAATCTCCCTTGTGAAAAGTATTGGTTATATAAAAACCTCTTAAATTATATAACCACCTCTCATTCTCTTCTATACCCTAGTAAAAGAATATCCAGGGTTGAAAATCAAATGTATCTTCTCTCTTTCTGCCAAATGGCTTATCAAATATTGCTAAATAATATCTTTTCATAGATGTATATAGCTGTTTCTCTTTCTATGTGTTGTTCTTTTCTTCTTGCTATAAACACCTACTTGTTGGTCATGGAAAGAAAGCAAAAGCTAGTATTTTCTTTTCACACCAAAAAAGTCTTGATTGGTGCTAGATAGAACATTCCAATTTCCATGGTTCTGATAAACTTGCAGCTCTCTCCTCATTGAGTTATTAGCATTTGTTCATGAGTTGAGGTAATTAACAAAAAAGGCCTTCCACAAAGATAAATCATGACCGGATGGGTTATTTGTGTTCATTTTGAGTATCATCAAAAACAATAGATCAGAAAGGGCCCTTCCACATAATGATATTTGAATGAAATATACCTTCTCCCAAAATAGAAGTTTCAGTGGAAGTTGAATGAAGATTGTCTGATACACAGAGTAATAAAAATGATAATGATAGTATAATAGCTAATAGTGTTAAATGTTTTTCTAAATGTTTTACTTATTTAACATACATTCTCCTCAGAGCAATCTAATTATCCCTGTTTAATTAATGGGAAAACTGACGTATTAAGTAACTGGCCACAGGCCACAAGGCTTATAAATGACAGACCTAGGGAGCCTGCTGCTCAGCTTAACCACACGCTTTGTATTTAAGAATGTCCTAGGTCACAAACAACTCACCTGTGATTCAAAGGGACCGTGTTTAGGGAAAACCAGAGTTTGTTTAAACTTTTGTAATTCAATCCTAATTTATTTTGTATCAGTTGTGTGGAAAGTAATGTGCTAGGTATTTATTCTGAAGTGAAAGCTGAAATTTAAGGCCACATATCACTCTGTCACTACAGAAATATTTGATACCCTGCACACAAATATGAGTAAATGAAGGAAAATCAAACTAATCACTAGAGTTGTTCTTAAATCCAACTGTCACAAGTAATTAAATTAAGAGTATTCAAATAAAATCATTTTAATATTGCCCATGAGTGTACAAAAAATATAAATTTCAAAATTGTACTTGCTATCTATCAAACAATACAAATACATTTTTTATTTAATATTTTATACAGATAAAAATGTATTAAAATATTGAATCAAAATTTGTTAGTTCTAAAACTCCTCTGATGATACTTAGGCAAGTTAGAAAATAGCTTATTCTTGATGTTATTTCAACCCAAATTGATCAATAACACTTTTGTTTTGTCAAAATTATCTGAATTGATTAAAAGGTAAAGGAAAACTGGGAATTTTAATATAGTTACTGCCTGTCAATATCAGAGTGAAGAACATTTTTATTGTTGGAAATATTTCAACTTTTTTATGGCTGAAGACCTCAAAGGATGGTTTATATTATTAATAATGTTTTATCATGAAACTATTGTATGACTTTGAAAAAGAAGTTATGGTTTTGAGAGCCAATCTTAATATCTATTATAAATTTAAAAACTGTAATTTAATCTCATGAATCATAAACTAAAAATGAAATGACTTAATTGTATTTAAAACATTTCTTACCAAGCTCTCACTTTTGTTTTGAGCCAATGGAATTATCTTAATAGATGTTGAGATACAATCAGACACCTGCCTTTACTAAAGAAATACTTTTCATTCTGACAAATCTCTTCTTGTACAAGTTAATAATATCCTCCAAACATATTTCCTCAATGGATGAAAAACACAATCCAATTTAGAAAAGAAAGACCTTAGCAGTTGAAGGCAGATGAAGACACTCATGTGTGTATGTATATTTATTTACGAAAGTACTAAGCTAGAATATGACATATACAAGAGTGAATACGACAGGAAATATGCCCTCCCAACAGTTATTTCTATGTAATAATCAAACATGTAAACAAGAAACATATGGAATTTTAAAATAATATTTGAGAGTAAAAGATGTGAAGTGGGCTAAGTGTGAAAGCAACCAGTTTAAAGATTTTCATTTTCAATGTTAATGTTATGTTATGTGACCATATTAAAGAAGAATGTATTTCTACTTGAATGTCACTTGTAGCTGAAAATAACTGTACACAAGCTGATGTTGAATTCAGATCTAACAGAAACATATATAGTTTTAGAAACCCTTACAGAATCACAGTAAAATAACAGATTTAGATTACCTAGCCCATCTTATTTTTCAAGGTAGAACTTACTCCAAAAAATTCTCAATGATGCATGGTGTGTGAGTGTGTGAATCTATTATATGTATATATATATATATATATATACATGGCTGTAGTTTAAAATAAATTTCAACATAGGACTGATGAACATTCATATAGTCCCCGCAACCCTTGAAGTATACAAAAGAGAGTGCCATCTGCCATCTGCACCTGCAAGAATTATAAAATATTAGATGAAAGTTGTAGCACCTAGTGAGGGTACGTAATTAGAGGGTTGTTAGGTCTATCTTAGATAAGTCCTTCCTTTTGTATTTTTAATTTATTTTCCTCCATTTGTAAACTTAAATTGGCCCATAGATTCATAGATATATGAGAGATAAAAACACTTTTGGCCATCTTCTCCATTCTAAATAATTTATATTTATCATTAATTCAATTCAGTAAGTATTAAGTATATATTATGTAGACTATTTTTCTACGTTGTAAGGATAAATGAAATTGTTCAGCCCTTAAGGAATCTGTTTGTATTATTAAACACATGTTTATTATTATGTAGATGAAAGTTCTTAATTGCACAAAACATAGTTTAGCTTGACTGTTTTAATCAAGAAGACAT